TCCTAGACCAGCCTTTCCTGAAATTACTAATTCTTCAGATGCATGCCTCTCTGTTCCCAGAATTCCTAGCAATGGCCATGGTAGTTAGGGAATTCTGGGAGTTGGAGTCCATGCATTTGGAAGCTGCCCTGGTTGAGGAACACCGGGACAGAGTTGCTGCCAAGCAGTCCTGAGAATACCAATCTACAAAGGGCCACAATATTAGCCGCATTATGTGTTGCACAGAAATATTTGCAATACATTCAATCATCTTAGACTTCAAGTAGAATCCCTGGTTTGAATATTCTCTGCTGGCTGAAAGGATCAAGCAGGGGAGGTTTTCTCATCCCAAGTGGGACATGATCTCTAATGGTGTATGAGGGCAAAGGAGTAGCTAATGGGATGGTGATGGGGAAAAATCTCTCCACCAGCAGCTCTAAGCTCTGAACCACATCTGTGCACAGAGACAGCGTTCTGCTATTGGGGCCTTCCAGATACGCTGGGAGTGCAACTGTGCAAATTTGCAGCCAATCTGAATTCTCAAAGCTACAGTCCCAACTCAGCTGGCGTGGAGAGCAAGGAGATTCAGCCAGATGAGGGCCAAGATCATCAGGCTGGAGAAGAGAAAACCAGCTGCCTGTCCATGACATGACAGCTGGGACTTTCCAGATACGTTGTGAGGACAACTGTACAAATTCTCAGCCAATCTGAATTCTCAATTCTCAAATTCTCTCTCCACCAGCAGCTCTAAGCTCTGAACCACATCTGTGCACGGAGACAGCGTTCTGCTACTGGGACCTTCCAGATACGTTGGGAGTGCAACTGTGCAAATTCTCAGCCAATCTGAATTCAATCTACAGTCCCAACTAAGCTGGAGTAGAGAGCAAGAAGATTCAATCCAGAGAATGAGGGCCAAGATCAGACTGGAGAAGAGAAAACCAGCTGCCTGTACATGACACAACAGCTGGTTGCAGCTTTTGAATCATCCATACAACTTTACCTCCCTTTTTTAGTTTTTCAAGCTCCATAGATCTCTTGGGCTCCAGTACATCAGCCTCCACAACTCTTCAACTGAGCACAAATTGTTTCAGCTGTTCTGTCCATAGCAACGAACAATACAAAAAATCATGGCTGATGGAAGAGAGCTGAAAGGATCAACCAGAGGACGTTATCTCAGATATGTTGTAGGTGTCAAACTAGGAGTGTTTTTGCTCTGTCCTTTTTTTCCATTGGTGGGCTTCCTATTTCCAGAATCGATAAAATCCCAAAGCAATGGCAAGGCAAGTGAAAACAGAGGCTGAAATTAAAAGAAAAAGATAGTGAACCTATTTGGGTCAAAGAGTTTCATGCAATTTGCCCTCCCCCTTTGATACCAACTAAGGATCTTCACTAGAGGTCTGCACACAGAGGCTGGATGGTCATCTGTTAGAGACGTTTAGAACAGGGTCCCTCAACCTTGCCAACTGGAAGATGTGTGGACTTCAACTCCCAGATCCCCCAGCCAGCCTGGCTGGGGGACTCTGGGAGTTGAAGTCCACACGTCTTCAAGTTGCCAAGGTTGAGGAACCCTGGTTTAGCAGACTCTGCATCAAAATGTACAAATTGGAAAGGACCTTATGGTCATCTAGTCCAGACCGTGCTCAGGGCAAGAGTCCACTAAGCTATTCCCAACACATGGTCAACCAACTGCCTTTGAAGAACTTCAGCAAGTAGAACTCCACTGTTTGCAGAGGACCACAGAGATGACCTTGAAGATGTTATGCAGAGACTGTTAGCAACAAATGAGCTTAGTCCAGGAAAACATGTGTGAGAAACAAAATTGACTCTCTTTGGTATAACAGGAAGGCAACAGGAAATGCTACAGGCTTTCAAGATTCTGTTGTTATGATCTACATCACTAAAGTAGAGCTGTAGTATTTCTTGTGGTGTCTGTTTCCTGACCAGGCCTACCATCAATCCTGAAAATCTGCAACGCACTATTAGGAGAGGCAGAGAATCTTGCCTTTGATCGTAGAGATGGTATCTGGCCCTCAAGCTACCCAACGGTCTGCTGAACCACTTGTCAAACCATTATTACAGCACCACCCAAAATAACTAATCTGCACAATGCCATGGTGCAACTAATGTAGCATTTGGGACACAGCTTGCTTCAGCCTGGAGCAAGCCGGCAGCCCAGCCAATATTTCTGCATTTCTCCACATCAATTTAGGCACTGCTTAGTAGCTTTTATAGGTTCCTTCCAACCCTTGGCCTGAATCTCCTTCCTTTTAATCCCAACCTATTAATCTCTCCTCTTCACTCAGTCTCCCAACAGGCCTACCTATTCTTGTACAAGACAGCCTGGTAGATGTTTGTAGATGCAATCATGTCTCCCCTTACACTGCCCTTTGGTAAGCTAAATACACCCATTAGCAGAGGGTTCTTTTCCTAGTCTCCTTATCCTAATCATTCTCCTCTGAACCCATCTGGCCTTTTTATATTTCTGTAAGGCCCCTTCCTTGCTTTTGATATTTGCATCATATTGACCTTGATTAATGTTGTCAGGATAACGTGGTGCCTGCGCTGTGGAATGCTCTCCCCCCTGAAGTAAGGTTGGCCTAGTCACTGTTGAGCTTCCGGAGGTCCCTCAAGACCTGGTTATGCCATCAGGCCTGGGGATCCCAGGGGACGGAGGATTTAGTGAGGTGGCTCCCTTATTTTTAACTTCCCTTCGTCTATTATTTTCTGTTTAGTTGGTTTTTATACCTTTTTAATGTATTCGTTGACTGTTTTGAGCTTTGTTGTACACTGCCCTGAGTTGCTTGTTTGTAAGAGGGGCAGCTATATAAATTGGATAGATAAAATAGAATAGAAATCTTTATTGTCATTGTACTACTTGTACAACGAAATTAAATGCCACCCCAGTGCAGCTTTAAAAA